GAGAGTTGAAAGCTCCAATTGAGAGCTCCAATAAACCTCTGCAATGAACAGCTCTGCAGCCTGGAACACACACTGTGATATTCACTCATAGTGAATATCACAGTGTGGAGAACTCTCATTGAACTGAGCAGCGATTGCTTGACTTCTATATGATCCTTCAGCAGAGGCGGTAATCAACACAAGTGGGCAATCTATAGTAATATAGCCATTGAACCATCCATTGAGTGACTCATGCTTGAACAACCTCGAGCTGTTAGTGGTCCTTAGAGATCTCTGATTTGACTTAATATATTGTGCTTTCGTGTCGAGGGCGTGACAACCTTTATTCCCTTACAAAGGACTAGAGGGGTCAGTTTGGTTCTGATGTTACTCTTGTTACTTAATGTTCCAATATTACTTGGATTCACGTTTTCCCCCGTGACCCAGACTGACAGGCAAAAGCTCAAATTTTTTCTGAACTTATTTCAGATGTACTCAACCCGGAACTCAACAATAATGAGCAGTAATTTGGTAACCTCATAAACAGAGAGGCCACAGGAAGACTAGTGTGGTCAATGTACGTACCTCACCCATGTGTGTGTGTGTGGGTGGGGGAGGGGATAGGTTGAGGTGCTGAAGTGCAGAGGATGGTAGAGTGAGCAACATGGAAAATGAGATCATATTGGCGTCAGCTTGGTTCAGTTAGTAGTAACTCTCGCCTCTGAGTCAGAAGGTTGGGTTCAAGCCCCACGTCAGGACTTTGAGCTCTAATGTAGTGTTGGGAGAGTGTTGCGTTTTCAGAGATGCTCTGAGATGCTATACTGTGTGAAGGACACTATTATAAATGCAAGTTGCTGTTATTAATATCTTTTGGATGAAATGAAAAATCAAGGCCATCTTCTTTTTCAGGTGGATGTTAAATGTCTCGAGGCACTACTCAAAGAGTTTCTCCCGGTGTCCCGGCCTACAATCCCCCAGATAAAATTGATCATTCACTTCATGGGTGTTTGTGGGACATTTTTGAATAGCACCAAGGGATCTTTAACGTCCACCTGAACAGGCCGACAAGATCTCAGTTTAATGTCTCCGAAGGGAGACCTCCGAAGGGTGGCACCTCTGACAGTGCAACACTCCCCCAACACTGCACTGGAGTGTCAGCCTGGACTGTGTGAGTTGGAAGTTCTGACCCGGGCTTGAACCCGCAACCTTCTGACTCAGAGACGAGAGTGAGGCAGAAATTGAACCTTTTACATTCAGTGTCCAGCAGGCCGTGGGCCTGAGTCTGAGTCTTCACTCGAGTACAAGAAAGTCAAGCAAAAACTGGATTTACCTGCATTATCTCCTACCAAGCCTTAATGAAAATTTCTCATTGTGCAATCCCCAGACAGGCACTCACTCATTAATGCGGTGATACATACGCAAAGTGTAGTCCAACATCATTACAAGATGCACCTCCTGTTTCTCTTTACTGCCCTCTCCCCAGTAAAGTGGCAGCTTTTATGACATGAAAGAGACTATCAAAAGCCAGAAGGCGACGCCTTTTGTACCCAAAGGGCCATGCTGGGGTAAGTGACTGTCACGTGTCTCACTGCATGCTAATAGCAAACCACATTTGGCTGATGCTGCAGCTACGAAGAAGCCAGTGAGTTGTTTCCAAAGCCTTTTGTTGTGTTAATAAATAGATTTGACATTATACCACAGTTCAGCCATCAGCTCTCTCTCTCCGCATTGCTGAGAGCTCATTAACAACAGCCCCATTGGCTCCACACACATCCCAGAGAGGGTTCGAGCACGCACTTATTCGATACTTTGTCACGAGTCTCTTACATTGCAAAGAGGGAATGACTTTCATGCCACCCCCAGCACGCTTTGCCAAAAGTGCCGTGGCAAATAACGCCTTGCTTTCACAAAAAGGTTGCTCACTGCATCCATCCATGTATAAGCCTGGCTCAGTTGGTAACTCTCACTTTTGGTTGAGATAGTTGTGGGTTCGAGCCCCTCATCAGGGAATTTGAGCTCAGAGTCTAAACTGACGTTCTGAGACAATGCTCAACTGAGTGTGACCATAACCATCCTTTGGATGAGGCTTTAAATCAAAGTCCTCTCTGTCTGTTCAGGTAGACATGAATGTCACTATTTAAAAAGAGAAGGGAGTTTACCCTGACGTCCTTGCCAACAATTCACCTCCTATCCCTTTGTGGGATGTTGCTGTGCACAAATTGGTTGCCATATTTGCCTACAAATACACAGTCACTACACTTTACGGCGATTATCTGTGAAGAGCTTTCAGATATTTTGATGTTACCAGCGCTGCATCTGCTGCAAGGATTATCATACATTTGATCATAAAATCTTTATTGCAAGGACCATTTGTAATAGACTGAAAGTATTGCTGCTGCAGTAATAATAATCCTTGCATTGGATTTCATGCTTTTAATATCAAAATATCTCAAAAATGATTACCGTCAAATCTAGGAAGTGTGTATTTGTGGGTGAATGTGGTAGCAAAATCCCAACAAGCAGCCATGGAGTGAATGATCAATTTCATTTGGGGAATTGTTGGCCAGGACACTGGGAGAAACTCCCTTCACTAGAGAGTGCTAGCAACTCTGAGCCAGGCTGACACACAACATCACATAAGTGTACGCTTTTCGTTATATTAACTAAGCAAACAAGTAACTTCAAATATTCATGCATTTGGACGCTGCATGGTTTTAGTGGATAAAAGACCTTCAGTTGAGACAACACTGCCACTGGTGTGATGGAGTATTTTCAGCTCCAGCGAAGAGCTGCGATTGATGACAGTATTTAACTCCAATCAGTGACACTTGGCTTTCTTGCACATCGAGCTCTTAATTCCCCTGAGGAAATGCTCTGCTCTTGGTGGGTGGTAGAGGATTCCATTGACACCTCTGAGTGGCTAGCACTGTTGGTTGGTGAGGTATCTCTCCAGACACCACACGAGACTCAGACAGAGGGACATGTACAGACGTGTTCAGTGAGATGTCTGCGTCAACAGCCAAATCTCCTGCTGGAAAACTTTTGCAGCACAAAACAGGCGAAAGCTGAGACAGCAGCATGTTCACACTCTCAATCTCAAGGCTCTCACACTGCAACCGATAATCCATCTGCTGCCGACCATCATAGAATCACAGAACTTTACAGCACAGAAGGATGCCTTTGACTCATTGAGTCTGCACCAGCTCTCAAAGCAAAGTGTTCATTCAATCCACTGCCCTGCCTTATCCCCAAAACGCTTCAAACCGTTATCTTTCATAAACCTGTCTAGGTTTAAAAAACTTTTCCCACTCTACCATCTGATTTAGCAGGGCATTCCACATCCCAACAATGCTCTGAGTGGGAAAACAAATTCTCCTGTTATCAAATTTAACTAAATTAAATAATTTATTAAATAATTAAAATATTAAAGTGTCTAGTTGAAAGCACCCTTGCCCGTGGGCCAGAAGGCTGTTGGTTCAAATCCCATCATTACAAAATATTAATCCTTGCATTTGATATAGCGCTTTTCACGTCAGGAGGACGTCTCAAAGCGCTTCACAGAAGACACTGTAAAATGAATTGACTGTATATTTGTGGGCGAACCCGGCAGCCAATTGCGCACAGCAATGTCCCACAAACAGTCATAGATTGAAAATGACCAATTTATTATTTTTTTGGGTTCTTGGAGGGATTATTATTAGGCTCTGTGTGGAGTAAGGAAACTTGCCCAAGGTATCGCTCTGCCTGGAATTGAACTCAGGTCTCTCGCTTGCAAAGCGAGTGCTCTAACCACTGAGCTACAGGACTCCATCATGTTTCAAGAGAAGCATCAATTGCAAAGTTTTAAAATTAAAATCACAGAACCTACTCTGAGTTTGCCAGTTCAGGTGGGCATTAAAAGATCGCTTGACACTACCTACTCCCAGTGTCCAGGCAGATAAACTGGTTACCACTTTGTGCCTGTTTGTGGAACCTGTTGGAAACAAGTCCAATGTCCTGGACTCAACCAACATTCCTGGTTACCTGTTCCAGTCATTATAGACTGGGGAGGGAGAGGCATTGAAATGAGGCATCTCAGAGGGAATCTTACAAAATGAAACGAGAGTGCTTCCAACTGAGGCTTGGCTGACACCTCTAACTGGAGTGTGTGTATGGTGGGCGGGGAGGGGAAGAGAAATTCTGCTTAGGTTTATGATTTTTTAAATTATTATTTACAAAAACCTAGAGAGAGGTGAAATGGCAACTCCTAGAATGCAAATCGACATGATAAATATCCCAACATTGACACCCTTTTTAAAAAAAACGCAAAATCAACACAGGCAGGAAAAATGGGGTTGGGGAGGATGTTACAATAAAAAGTGTCGCTGAAGCTTTGTATCATTTAAGGGTGCAGCAAAGACTCGTTGTGAAAGGGGGTAAGAAAGAGACAAAGGGTTATTATTATTATTATTATTATTATTATTATATAAAGGGTGTTCGCTCCAAAGGGCTGCCCTGACTGTATTGAAAATGGAGCTGGTGTCAAAATAATACAATACAATCCTCGAATTCGATACAGCGTCTTATCACGCCTTCGAGACGTCTCAAAGCGCTCCACAGAATATACCGCCGAGTGAATTGGCTGTGCAGTTTGCGGGCGAAACGCGGGCGCCAATTGCGCACGGCAGAATCCTGCGCACGGCGGCGGATTGAGTGACCAGATTATTGTCGGTTTACCTTCATTTATTTTTTATATTAAAAAAAAAGGGATTATTGCCCCTGGAAAAGCTTAGGGACAGGAGAGAGGAGGAGGAGAAGTAGAGGGAGAGGAGAGGAGAGGAGAGGGAGAGCATGGAGGCTGCAGGGGTTTCTGTGCTTGCCAAGTCGGTGCTGAGTGAGACCTTGGTGCTGGGTGGGTGGGTGGGTGGGGGGTTTCACACTGAAATTACCTTGAAAAGAACTGTATCCAGGAGACCAGGCTCTGGGGAATGCCAACCAATAGCAAGTCAGGCAGTGCACACAGGCATCCCAAATGCATGTGTGATGGTGACTTGGGGTTGGACTGTCCTCTCTCCCCCTCTTCCCTCTCCATCTCTCGCCTTGATTTGTCAATGAGACCCAGGGAGCTGAGGCAGGCAGATGGGGAGAGTATGGTGTGGAGAGGATACACCGATCTGTTCTGGAGAACTTCGAGTGTCCACCAGGTGAGTGACCAGTAAAGGCGACTTGCGAATCCACGAGCTTTTCCCAAGCGAAGGATCGGATTTTAACCCTATCTCTCTGCTTCCCCCCCACCCCCCATCCCACTCCCACTTTGCAAATATCCCTCCCCCCTTTTTGGCAATGCACTGTTGTTTGGGACTTTGCATTTTTCGTTTTAAGTTGAGTCCCCTTTTGAGACGAATTGTACTGCGTTGCAAAAGGGTTATCCTTTCTGCAAATGCGTCTTTCTTTTAAATAAAAAAACGAGCTCGAATCGTGCCCTGATCGTGGTCTTTGAGGAATTAAATGTCCCTTTAAATGATTCTCAATCAATAGGGTATTTTTTTTTAAAAAAAAGGTAATGTGATTTATTCTGTTTAAACCCGACCTGAAGGGAAAAATTAGGATCGCAATGCTTTATTATTATCTGCATCAGTACAGCACAGGGAGAGAGAGACAGAGAGAGAGAGAGAGATCCACACGTTTTATAGATAGCTTTCATTTATTTCTGCAGGTCAAATGCATTGAATGCAATCAGTGTTTAGCTTTGAACACACCACCAGTCGGGGTTCAGTAAAGTGAGCACATCGCAGACCGAATTTTTAAGATCATCAGCATCAGGAAGCCAGGAATCCATTGCAAACTGCAAAGGGTTTAAATGCAGCTTTAGTGAAAGGGGCAGTGGTTAAAACCCACCGGCTGTGCTGTGCTGTGCTGTGCTGTGCGTGTCTGTGTGTGTGTGTTTACTGTACAAACAGCTGCAATCCCCTGAGGCCACTGGCTGGATTCATCCTAAAAAATCCGCAATCCTTCTCCCCACCCGCCACAGGTTAACGGATCGGATGCAGATTTAAGAAAGGGCGTTTATCTATGGACCGGGGCTGGACGTAGGTAAGTGCATGTTTCGCACTGAGTAAAGTAACTGTGTGTTTGTATGGTGGGGGGTGGGTAGGGTTATGTCATCCCAGCGATAGGGAGATATGAGCCTTAATTTCACTCGATTGCACTTCACGCTCACGACCACTTGCATTCAAACCACAACTAATAACGGTGACAGTGATAGTAATCCTTCCGTTTGATGTGGCGCCTTATCGAGTCTTCGAGACGTCTCAAAGCGCTTCACGGAATATACTGCAAAGCGAATTGACTTGTGTATTTTGTGGGCGAAACGCGGCAGCCGATTGCGCACAGCAGTTAGGCAAACAACAACGATTCGCATTTATATAGCGCGCTTCCTGTGAGGAGCGCTTGACAGTGGACGTCTGATGCCAAGCCAGGGGGAGAGGGAAGAGGGTAGGTAACCGTAAGCACTGTCAGAAAGGAAGGTCTTTAGGTGGAATTTGAAGAAAGGTAGGAGGTGACAAGGCAGAGGGATTGAGGAAGAGTTTCCAGAGTTTCGGGCGTAGTAGCTGAAACGGAGGTCACGAGGGCCAAACAGGAGGCTGGAACCAGTCGAGTGGCGGCAATGAGTAGTGGGTTGGGAGTAAGCAGGTCGGAGAGGTAGGGAGGTGCCAGGGCATGAAGGGATTTGAAGAAGAATGTGAGGATCTTTAAATCAACCCCATTGAGAGAAGCTGAGCACAAAGGGGCTCCAACGAGTCAGGGTCCAACCAAACCGCTGGAACATTCAAGGTGAGAGGGGCAGATCTACTAAAGTGCGGTCCATAGTTGGCGACTGGTGTCCACGGTTATGTTGAGCATTGTCAGAGCGTTGTTGCTGGAACAAGACAACAACATTTGGTGCTGCTATTACGTGTTTTTACCACTACAAAGCTCTTATTTGTCTTATTTGTGTTATTGATTGACACAAACAACTGATTGTTGGACACTGCTGTGTGCAATTGGCAAGCAAAACAAACCAGGTTCAGTTCCCGGGCAGGATGAAACCTCAGGCAAGTTCCCTTACTCCACACATTTATTTACCTAGCAGTAAGTGCGAACCGGTTGTTATTCAATTGGCGGATTGATTTCTGGGGTTAATAAGCCCTTCNAAAAAAAATTGTAATTTGGTCACTCAATCCATGACTGTTTGTGGGACACTGCTGTGCTTAATTGGAGTCATATTTTGCCCACAAAATGTACAGTCAATCCACTTTACAGTATATTCTGTGAAGCGCTCTGAGACGTCCCAAGAATGTGGTAAGGCGCTATAGCAAATGCAAGGATTATTAAGAGCCAAACAGTCATCGATTTGTCAATCTCCCAGTATGACTGGAAACATGAAATGAATTGCTCAAAAAGCAGCACGGATATGAAGGGACAATGACTTTCTTCTGTGCTGGATATTTCTATTGTTGTGGGATTGCTTCCCAATCGTGGCCAATTTCTGTGAAACCTTACACAATGTTTTTCTCATATTGACCATGTAAGAACAAATTTCACTGGACCAGAAGACCCTTGAGTCTATTTGAGCCTTAACCTTTCTCAACACTGACCAGTCGCAATCATCCTAAATAATAGTAATAATCCTTGCATTTGATATAGCGCTTCACAGAATATACTGTAAAGGGAATTGACTGTATATTTTGTAGAATCTAACCAGTTTCTATCACTTCATTTAAGCCCAATAGTGAACCAACCTGTATGTCTTTACAGTGAATAAGCTTGTGCTGTCTATGATGTAGTTCAGTCTTATGGCTGTCATGTGTTTTAGATAGAGAAGATCAAGCTGTGCATGAGGCTGTGACGAGACTTGATCCTTTAGATTGTGGAAGGAAAAGAGTAGGACAGACTAGTTGTCTACCTTTATTAAATATCTTTTGTAATAACAAATTCAAGCTAGGTACTGATTTAGGGAAGCAATAAGAATAATAATCTTAACAATTTCAAGTCAGGAGTACATCTCAAAGCATTTCGCTGGATTCACTGTAAAGTGGAGTGACTGTGTATTATGTAGGCAAATGCATTTGATGAAGCTAGAGAAATGCAGGAAGGCTTGCTCTTATTTTCGGTCAATCTATTTCCTCCACTTTCTCTTTGCATTTTAATGAAATCTCCTTAGTCCCACGTAACCCATCAAGTTTTATATTAATGAGAAGCAGAGTCCCAGAAGAATTGCTGTAAAGTTCTTTTTTTCTCTCTCTACATCAGAGCTGTACTTTTAGGACGGCCTTAGTTTTGAGTAAATTGAGTAAGTACGGTACCCATTGAATCATATGTGGATAGCACATTGCTGCAAATTAATTAAGAGCGTATCATCACCTTCTGCCCATTTCTCTGATGTATAATATTCAGCCTTCACTCTGTTGTAGAACGCTAATTGTTTCAGGCGTTACATAACAACACAGGAAAGAATGCTACTCTGAGCCCTTGGAATTGTCATTTAGCAAGATAGGGCAGCTCGCAGGCTCTCAGCACAGACACGAACACAGATAAATGACTGTACTCTTGTAAGCTTACACAGGAGCACTCATTCTCACTCACACAGACACACACACACACACACACACAATAACACTCACATAAACTGGCAGCCACCATATAGAGAAGCAGCTAAACAGGGGACAGATGAACCGAGGTTCAATTGTAAGCACGCAGGCACACCTTTGCAAGCCAGTTACTCACAAGTGTACAAGCAGAGACATACCTATACAAATAATACAGGCACAAAACGCATGCATACATGCATACATCTACATACAGACACACACACGTACAGGCAGACACACAAATCCACAGCCAGTCACACATAAATGGTGTGACACCGAATACAGGCATAGCCCGTTTTCATGTTGTTGTAATATGCTCAAATTGAATTTGCTAGCAAACGTTTACTTGTGCACATAAAATGAAAAGCACTAAAATATATATTTCAAATGCACCAAATAAATGCTACTTCATTCCCAGTGTCCTGGCCAACAATCCCCAAATAAAATTGGTCACTCACTTCACGGTTATTTGTAGGAAATTCCTGTGTGCAAATTGGCTGCCACGTTTGCCTACAAAATATACAGTCACTGCGTCTTACTATAAATCTTGTGAACCACTTTGAGGAATTTCATCGATATGATAAAGCATTAAGACTGCACAGCTAACAATGCAGTGTAGCCCCAGTACTTCCCTGGAGCGTCAGCCTGGACTAGGTAAGCTCAAAGCCCCAACATGGAGCTTGAACCCACAATATCATCTGGCTTAGACGTGAGAGAGCTACCAAGAGAACAAAAAGGCTGACACCTCTAAGTAAGTATTTTTCTGCAAAACAATTGCAAAGGGTTTTACTGTGACAAGGACATCAACAGACACTGGGACAAAATGTAAGTGGCTTTCCGAGTCACCAGTTTCTAACACGCAAGGCAATATTTCCGTTATTTAAAAACAAATTGAAACCATTAATGTCTTTTTTTAAAACCGTAGGCGAGATATCCTAGCAACCGGCTCACCAGCAAAGCCACACATTTGGTTATTACTGTTATTGAATCGCTCTGGAACTTCCAATTCGTGCCTTCTTAAAGAGCGGGGGAGGGTAGAGTGGAGAGGAGGGAGGGGGAGAGCGAGGGAGGGGGAGAGCGAGGGAGGGGGAGGGCAGGGGAGGGGGAGGGCAGGAGAGGGGGAGGGCTGGGGATGGGGGAGGAAAGGGAGAAATGTCTTGTTTGTTTCATCACAAATTCGTAGTGTCTCAGAGTAATCAGTTTAATGCGATTAAATCCCTGTGCTACGCTGTAGCTTAATAATTGTGGAGTCCTGTAGCATATTGGTTGGAGCCTTGCAAATGAGAGGACCTGGGTTTGATTCCTGTCCAGGGCAAAACCTTAGACAAGTTTCCTTAATCCACACGGCTCTGTTTACCTAGCAGTAAGTAGGAACCGGGTTGTTAGTCATTTGGTAGATCGCTTTTCCGAGGATAATAATTCCTTCAAAATATAAATAAATAATTTAATCACTCAATCCACGACTGTGGGACACTGCTGTACGCAATTGACTGCCGCATTTCACCCGCAAAATATACAGTCAGTCCTCTTCACAATATATTCAGTAAAGCGCTTTGAGACATCTCAATGATGTGATAAGGCGCTATATCAAATGCGAGGTTTATTATTATTATGAAGGGCACTGTATAAATGCAAGTTGTTGTTGTTAATGGATTCCTGACAGTCACAATCCTTGACAAATTTCAGGGGTCCCAGAAAATGGAACCATTGGAGAAATGGCACAGAGACTTGCTGGCACTAAAGCTCCTGGACAAAAAGCTGAACTCCAAGAATAATGGAACCACAGGTGAGCAGGAACGCAGCGCGAAAAAACTTGGGAACAGTCTCGGGACGGACCTCAGTACAGAACCAGGCTGGGCTGCTATTCCTGGGGGAGTCTCAACAAGGGGTGTGGGGTGGGAGTGGCAAGGAGAGTGCAACGGAGCCTATCTCCACCGTACGCTCCAAATCTTAGCCTGTGAGACCCTTTTGTCTTACAATTTAATATTGCGCAGGACTAAAATTCCTTAGAGTGCGTCCTGTGAAGGCTTTGAGGCATCCTCCCATTGTGAAAGGTGTTATGTGAAATGAAAGGTTTATTGCCCAATTATTATTAATTATTTTATGCCTTGTGACTTTGATTTCAGGAATGGTAGCAAAACATCTCCAACAAACGTTTAAGACCAGCGACTGCCCGCAATCTTCCATCCGCTCAGAATGTGGCACAGGTCAGTGCAGCCAACGCCGGGTTTCTTATTAGAAGTAGTTGTTAGAATCATAGTTACTTGCTGCAGGCGGAGATCATTCGGCCCATCAAGTCTATACCAGCTCTGAGAGCAAGCTGTCCAATCAAACCCACTACCCTCTCTTATCCCCAAAGCCCTTCAAGCCTCTATCCTTCATATGCCTGACTACTTCCCTCTTGAAACCTGCAATGAACTCTGCCTGTTCTACCTTATTGGAGATCATAACTCTTTGTGAAAAAAATAAGCTCCCGTACGAAATGCTAGACGGAAAAAGACCAAGGTCCATCTAGTTCACCTTCCACCTTCCTGGCGTCTCATGCACAAATGTCCCGTCTACCTATCTCCTTTTGCTCTTCTTGTGACTATCTTTTATCAATGTCCTCTCGTCACTGACTCCGTCACCAGTGGAAATAGCTTCTTCCTATTCACCCTGACCAAACTCAGGTTTCAGCCTCACAAATGATTTGTATAAACTTAGCACGATGTTAAAATGAATGGATTTAGTTAGCTGCTCCAGAGAACCTGCTGCCTGGGTACTGTATATGAATCAGCAGTAGATGGCACCACCCCTTCTTTTCCTACCAGTGAGTTGAGCTGCTCAGCTTGTCCACACTGCTGTTAAAACATTCGCCCACACACACTTGCTCGCTGCTGGGTTAAGGGAGAGATGCATCAGTCAGTAAATAAAGTCAAGGATTGTAACAAGCGCTGTGTGCTTCAGTTAGTCTGGTTTCTCTGGCTGCAGTGTTGGGGTGGAAGCCTGTGTTATACACAGGACAGCCTAGGGCTGTGTTACATAATCTATAGGGAGTCCAAAGAATCCTGTTACCCCCATGTTTTTTTTCTACAGAGTACTGACCAACAATTGGAATGTGTGGAAGAATTGCTGAAAATTGTACTTAGAAGTACTTAAATGTATTCAGTACAAGTGTTTAATTGTGGAGTCCTGTAGCTCAATGGTTAGAGCACTCGCCTTACAAGTCAAGTGAGAGACCTGAGTTCAATTCCAGGCAGAGGGCGAAACCTTGGGCATGTTTCCTTACTCCACATGCCTAATAATAATCCCTCAAAAAAAAACAATAATAAATTGGTCATTTTCAATCTACGACTGTTTGTGGGACACTGCTGTGCGCAATTGGCTGCCGCGTTCGCCCACGAATATACAGTCAATTCACTTTACAGTATATTCTGTGAAGCGCTTTGGGACGTCTAGAAGACGTGTAAAGGGCTATATCAAATGCAAGGATTATTATTATTACTTAGACATTGAAAGGATCGGTGTGAGTGAGCACTATCGTTTTCATGGCAGATAATGATCCATCACTGTGTTCGGTGCGACATCTCCTGTAACATGAATGGAGTGACGAGGCTTGTTTCAGCACCTGTGTAGTTTCATATCACTGCCTTGTAACAGGGGGCAAGAGGACTTTGTGGACACCCTGTACAATAACGATACAGCATAACTAAAAATTACAAGGATCTGAGATCCTCACAACCTGGCTCTGTTGGTAACCTCTGGGTCTAAGATTGGTGGGTTCAAGTACTTCTTTAGAGACTTGAGCTGACACTCCAGTGCAGTACTGGAGGAAAGCTACATTGTCGGATGTCCCGCCATTCAGGTAAACCTTTAAACTGAGCACCCATCTGCTTGTCTTAAGGTGGATGTTAAAGATCCTGTGACCTATTTGAAAGAGAAGGAAATTTTTCCCTCTGGCCAACAACCACCAGATTATTTTGCCCACAAAATACACAGTTAATTCACTTTACAATATATTCTGTGAGGCACTTTGAGCCATCTCAATGACGTGATAAGGCACTATAACAAATACAAGCTTTTGTCTCCAAAAGCAGTCACTACAGTGGACAGCCACGGTGAAGCACGTTGAGATGTATGAAGCAATAAGATGTAATAAAACTTGTCAAGTCCTTTCTTTCTAACAAGTCCCTAACCCATTAATTCTAACTCTTACCCCTGCGTTATGTCTCACGCATCACCTTTTCTGTATAGTTCGCCTACAACCCCAGGATTTAAGATAAATCCTTTGAAGGCACTCTTTGTGGGATTGTACAGATCTCTCTCCTTAACCCCCTTCCCCCACCCGCTTTCCTCTCTATCTATCTCTGTCTCCCTCCCTCTGTGTTCCTCCCCCTATTCTGCCTCTCCCTCACTTAGCAGTAATCACCTCCCTTTGTTTGGCAGATCTGCACAGTTTACGAGGGTGACTCCAGGGTATTAGCCATTTGGCCTGTCCTCTGCGGCCAGACGGTCTCCCCAGTTCACAAGCCAATAGAGAAATCAGCAGTAAACAGCCACATTGGGTCCTGCTCTCTGTGTTGGTTTTATTCAAAGACCCAAGTAGCCTCGTCCAAGTTAATGTTTAACCCAGGAGCGCAGACGGTCCCAGGATTTGAAAGGTAGTTATCTGGCTCTCATACCCCAGAGTAAAACTGCTAACACTGCTGCTGTACATCACAAGTGTTTCAGCTACCAATGCCTGATCGCTCAATGTAATCTTTCTAAAACTAAGTCCAGTTCCATTAATATGTAAACTCAAGCTTTCAGAATCAAGTAACCAGAGGCTGGAGTAAACTCCAACCTGTCTTTACGTGTTGGTAAGTTTTAATCCGTCAGTTCTGGTTTCACTTCTGCAGGGAAGAGTTAGATGCTTTAAGGAAGCCTTTCTCATCAGTATTTCAGTTTCCTCGATGACTGCTGTATAGTGGGGAAGTGAGCCATACAAAGGTTTCAGCTTTGATTTTTGGTTTGTATTCAGTTCCCTGCACTTGTACTGCTACTAATAATACTTGCATTTGATATAGCGCCTTATCAAGTCTTCGAGATGTCTCAAAGCGCTTCACAGAATATACTGTAAAGTGAATTGATTGTATTTTGTGGGCGGAAACGTGGCAGCCATGGAATGAGTGACCAATTTTATTTGGGGGATTTTTGGCCAGGATACCAAGAGAAACTTTTTCCTGTTTTTGAATAGCACAGTGGGATCTTTAACATCCACCTGAACAGGCAGACAAGACCTTGGTTTAATGTCTCATCCTAAGGATGGAACCTCCAACAATGAAACACACCCCACCCCCCCCAGCACTGCATTGGAGTCAGCTTAGACTATGTGATTCCAAGTCCTGGCATGGGGCTTGAACCCACAACCTTCTGGCTGAGAGGCACTGAGCCAAGCTGCCAAATGTTTCCTCAATGAATCAGCTGCCTGTTTGTTTCACTGCTCCGTAAAGTCGGTCTGATTTAACTGCCCACCATTTGGCAGGAATGAGGAGATGGGTGGTTCCAAGGCTCAGAGAGCAGAAAGGCTTTGCACAGCAGAGAGATCCGTGGAAAATGATTGAATGGAAAAGTCATTTACAGGTTTTTGTTGGAAACCTGAAGCACTCTCAATAATGTGTACAGCATACCGATATTACACAAGTTTACACTTACACAGCACCTTTCACATTGGGAGGAATTAGCTACTTTGACGTTATTTGGAAAAGACTTATACAAAAACAAACTAGCATTTTCTTTAAGCTGTGCTGCATTTCAGATCGCACCTGAAGACTTTCCTCTTTAAACATCAGTCACCTTCCCTCTCTCCCCGGAAACTGCCACAGTTAAGTGCTCCGAGATGTTAGCCCACATGAAAGACCCTGTATAAACGCACGTTGTCGTTGTCTGTTTTGATCAACCTAATTTCCCTTCTCTCCCCAGGTTCATGTCCAGACCTAGCGATGAATAGAGACGAGAGACTGGAATACAAACTCGTGACCATGACGTCCACTCCCAAGCTCCCGGTCCGATCCCATCGGCCCCTCTGCCTCTCCGTCTCCTCTGACGGGAACGGGAGATACAAGCCTTTGGAATGTCAGGAATTCAACAGCAGCTTGAAATCCCAGGTACGGGAAGCATGTCTCCTTTCCAAAAGCGTTGCATGATCTTTAATGTCCACAACAACAAATAACGTTTGTATGGCATCTTTCACTTCGGGAGGATGTCCCAAGGTGCTGGACAGTCAAGTATTTGGATCCGAGTTGGGGGATGGAATCAGGAGGGGTGGAGTGCAGGAAGGGTAACAGTAGGCGGGTGTACCGGTAGAGGTCTAGCTGAAGTGCAGGGGTCTCGGTTTAATGTCTCCGACTGTACAAACACAGTGACTACAACAACAAAGTTACATTTGTATAATACCTTCCACATCAGAAGGATGTCCGAAAGCGCTGGACAGTCAATGTTCCGAACTCGAGCTGGAGGTCAGGATCAGGGAGTGTGAAGGGCAGGGGTAAAGGAGGGTAACAGAAGGCATGGTTGAAGAGGGGGGTCTTGAGGTGGGTCTTGAAGGAGGCAACGGAGGGGGTGAGGCTTAGGGACTGCCGGGTGGAGTTCCAGTGGGTGGGGACAGTGGCAGAATGCCCACCCACTGATGGTGGGGCGGGCAAGACTACACCACACTTTGAGATATCCTCTCGACGTGATAGGAGCTATGGCAAATGCAAGGATACAACAACAACAATTTGCATTTATATTGCACCCTTCACACAGGATAGCATCTTGGAGCACTTAAGAGCGCTTAATAGTGGCGGAGCTGGAGGGGGGAGGTGACCGTAGACTCGGTCGAAGAGGAAAGTCTTCAGGTGTGAAGGGGGGGCATGGAGGAGTTAAGGTGGAGGGACTGAGGAAGAGAGTTCCATAGTCTCGGAGTGTTTTGGCTGAAAGCATGGTCGCTGATGGTGGAGCAGAGAGCGAGGGTGGTGCAGAAGGCTGAACCAGACGAGCAAAGTGAGTGGGTAGAAGAGGGGTACAAGCAGAGTGTATTATTCGTATTATTATTAAATGAAGTGGTGGAACAGGCCCCCAACCACCATCAGAACCCCCATTACTGAGCCATCAGCCTTGGGACACCCGAATGCAGGGCTCAAACACCTAAAGTAGGAAAATAGGAGGAGAATATTCAGCCCATTAAGGCCTGTTCCACCACTTCATTTATTAGACTCTGGTGCATGTTTTACACCCAACGGCCTGTCCTTAGACCGCCCCCTCCCAAGGCTCGCACCACATAAGGTGGTGAAATCCAGCAAAATGATTTAGATTGTGTGTTGGCGTGAGCTAATGTCCAGCCTCTAAACCGCAGAGAGAGAGAGAGGGAGAGCAGCTAAACCACATGGCCACATTAGGGAAAGAGACGGCCAGCCTATCCTGGCCTTTCTCAGTTTCTGTTAAAATTCATGGAGCAGAATTCATTAAAAGACTCTAATTAACATGCAAGATCACAAGCGGGCGATGCTTATCCAAACGCAACAATGCTGCTCTATCAACTCTTGAGGAAGCCTTGTCTGGCACTCAGCAGACTGCCTCTCACCCTTATATGGTGCTCACTTCAAAAGAGCTTCAACTACATCAGTCTTAGAGAGAACCAAGCAAATATCTCTTCATTAGAGAGTCGAGGTTAGCTTCGGAGCAGAAGAATGCCTCTCGCCTCACATGCTGTTGGGAGGCCGGCTGGTTTCAGTGCAGTGCAGGTGGGTTGTGTGGCTGAGTTTGTGAGAGGCTTATGGGAGAGGCGATGGTAGGGTTCGTAGAGGGTGAAGAGTTGAGTTAGTGTGAGCCATGGGAGGAGCTTCAGGGGTGATGGAAGTGGCTCAGGGGTCATGGAGGTGGGTCAGGGGTGTTGGAGGTGTTGTCACCAAGGCTGGGGAATACCGGTATTTAGCAGAGCGTATGTTCCGCTTGGTTCATCCCAGTGACCCAAAGGGGATTTTAAAGAGGTTCGATTCCTCTGTCACATCCTGAGAATGTCGGGGTTTAACAGGGGGACTTCAGTTTGGTTGGACATTTAGGCAACAGATGTGATTATCACTCCCTCAGCTCCCACCCCTCAAGAGTTCTTTCCCCCCCTCCCACACCCCACACCCTGGACTCAAGCACGGTGGCTGAGGTTAAGGAGTGTCGTTGTGGTGTTAACAATAACAACAACAACTTGCATTTATATAGCGCCTGGTGGTAGACTGGAGGGAACGAGGGACCAGCAGGAGGCCAGAATCGGCCGAGCGGAGGCCGCGGGCAGTAGAGTGGGGAGAAAACAGATCAGAAAGGTAGGGAAGTGCCAGGGTGCCAGGGGATTTGTAGATGAGTTAGAGGATCTTGAAATCGTTCTGTTGACCTACAGATGGAGCAGGCGTACACTGCGGGGGCAGCGAGCAGTACTGGAGCCCTGGAGAGAGCCTCCCTGTTCTGCGCCTCGGGCTCTAACACATTAAGCCTGTCCGGCTCCAGTGAGACGCTGACCAAGACCAAGTCCTCGAGCCGCTTCTCCCTCTTCTCGGCGCCTTGGAACAGCAGCTCGGAGTCCGACTCCAACCCCCCCTCCCGGTCCGGCTCCAGGAAATCCAGGAACCACAGCCGCAAGGTCTCAGCCAAGACAGAGAGCGGGGCGGACAGGAAGCAGGGAGCTCCGGTACAGACTCCCACACAGGCCCCAGCCCCAGCTCCGACCTTGCAGTACTCTGAGCCCGTCATTGCTCGAGTGACCGACTGCATTTACGTGGGCAACCTGAACGCTGGCTACAGTGGCCGCACACTGTGCAGAAACAGCATCGACAGCATCATCGACGTGAGCAACCTCCCCGGGGAGCTGAACATCTGCCTGATCCCCTGCACCTGCTCCAGGAGCGTCAGGCATAGCTGGTCGCGGCTCAAGGTGGATACTAACTGGGACACTTTCCCCCTAAAGCGCCAGTGCTTCGAGGACATCAACGAATGCATCAACGCCTCGGCCGGCAAGGGCAAGCGAGTCCTGGTTCACTGTCGGGACGGCTATTCCCTGGCCCCCACCTGCGTCATACAGTACCTGATGCAGAAACAGGACATGAGGCTGATCAATGCGTACGAGCTACTCAAGGCGAAATACCCGCTCAACATCAAGGACTGCCACCAGGACCTCCTGGTCACCCTCGAACAGAGCCTGCGTCCCGGGGACACACATCCCGACTGCTTTAAACAAGCCATCTCCCGCAAGACAGCGTGGACTTAGTGACGGAGCGGGACGTCTCTGTGGGAATTCTGTACAAAATGCCTTAAGATTTCTCTCCACTTGGCGGGAGAGAAAGAGGGGACATGCAAATTGCTCACCTATAGGATTTTACGCTACAGAATATTTTTTTTTAGTGTTTAAGAACCGATGCAAGGACTTCTGTTGGCTGGACCCTTCACTAGGACAATACCTCAAATCACTTTTTGACAATCCCACATTTACCTGCGAACTTTGTTGCTTCTGTTCCATTTTTTTCAAGCTTAATATTAATATTGAACGAATGAATGGTCGATCGCGGACAAAGCTTTCCGAGGACTTGCCCAGCCAGGACCTCCCCACCCACTGGGGCACATGGCTCACAGGTAGAGGTTGTATCTGAACTGTCCAATCTTGTTGATGAGCTCGACGGGCTGTCAGCCAGGCTCAATTGGTAGTGCTCTTGCCTCAAGACCAAATGCTGTGGGTTCAAGACTCGCATTAGGACTTTGAACTTGCATTGCTTAGGCTGACACTCCAGTGACGTGCTGGGAAGCACTGCATTGTCGGAGGTGCTGTCATTCATATGAGATGTTAAACCAAGTCCTGTTAGACTGTTTAACTGGACATTAAAGATCCTATGGCACTATTCAAGAAGAGAAGAGAGTTTCTCTCCCTGTGTCCTGGCCAACAATACCCCAAATAAAATTGGTTACTCAGTTGATGGATGTTTGTGGGATATTGCTGTGCACAAATTGGTTGCCGTGTTTGCCTGCAAAATACATGGTTACTACACTTTACAGTAAATCCTGCGAAGCACTTTGAGACGTCCTCCTGACGTGAAAGGCATTCTACCAAATGCAAGGATTATTGTTAGTTATCAACAGTAATTCTGATCGCGTGGAGTTGCTTGGCTTTGCCAGTCATGTCCTGTCCAAAGCCAGTTCAACCCTAGGAGACGCTGTCTTACCTACTGTCCCCCTCCTCAAGGATTGTATTTTGTGAGGTTGTACTACCTAGTGACACCTTCAATATCAAATTTAAGAAAACAGGAAAAAGCAGCATAGAACAGGGGACCTGCAGCCTTTGTCATGTCATGTTCCCACCAAATATCACATTAAGCAATTAGATTTACAATCAAGCTCTGGTACCAAATTAATGTATAAATTCAAATGCAAATCATCATCTCTCTTCTTCATTCCCTCCTTTTTTCCTTCCTCTCTTTCCTTCTTTGTACCTCTCCACGACCTGATTGCAATTTCCCCACTGATTCTGGTTTGGACTCCTAGTTAATGTAGTTCCTGCGTCTTTCAACCCTTTAATGTGCTTGGATTGTGGCCATGAACGGACTGAGGACAATTGAAAATGAGTCCCTCTATGAGGTTACAATTATAGAAGGTAAAATATTAAATATTCTAACTCCCTCTTTGTGAAGCAAACCCCAGTGGGCTAAAGGGAGAGAGTTCCAGAGAGCAGTACATTGCCACAATTAGTTATGAGTATCAACATGAGATGATGTATCAGACTAAAGAATGCACAATTCCCCTGAGCGATCAAGGGGCAAGAATAGATCAAATGTTTTCAATGGATTCATGTTCCTAAAGAATAACTTGAGGATTCTCCAGACATCTCGTAGGGAATGATGCCCTCTGTCCTGACAGAATAATTAAAGCAAGAGCTGAAGAGCTCATTAAGAGGATGTTTTTATGCAGAAGGTTTTGTTACATGGATTCTTTTGTCAAAAGGGGCTATTGAAACCAAAGCCAGAACATTTACAAAGGAGCTGCGTAAATCATAAGAAAATAAAACAATATAAAGGAGTATGGGAGGGGGGAATTGGAAGACATCTCCTTTATGTTAGACAATGTGCAGAGGGAGAGCTCGGTGGACACAAGAACACGATCTGGCTAAGGGCAACCTGTAACCAAGCCTGACCGACAACACAAAGCTTAGCGATTGTCAGTGCTTGGCCACATCTCTCTCTGGTGGTGGGACTAGAAACTGCTTTCATATCTCAGTCATCTCTCAGCATTATTTGAAAAGACAAGGGAATTTCCTCTGGTGTCCTGGCCAACAACCCCCCCACATAAATTAATCATTCATTTATGTGGGGGATTGTATGCAAATTGGCTCTTGTATGCAAATCGGCTTTCGTGTTTGCCTACAAAATATACGGTCACTACACTTTGTACATACAATCACGCCACACCGTTTACATGAATGGGAACCTCCTAAATCAAAGGAACAAAACTTGTTCCGTCCTTCGGGTGAGACATTAAACCAAGGTCCTGTCTACCTGCTCAGGTGGATGTTAAAGATTCCATTGCACCATTTCAAAAAAGAAGGGAGTTTCTCCCAGTGTCCTGTCCCACAATCCCCCAGATAAAATAATTTCATGGCTCTTTGTGAGACATTGCATTGAGCAAATTGGCTGCTGGGTTCAACCGTAAAATACCACTCACTGCTTTGAAGCACTTTGTGATGTCCTCCAAACATGAATGGCGTTTTAATCCCACTTTCCTGTCTTTTCTCCACTCATTCATAACATCCAGCCTCGACTATGCAAACTCCTTGCTTCTCGGCCTCCCCAAATCCTTCCTCCATTGGCTGCAGATCATCCAGAACTCTGCAGCTCCTGTCCTCTCCTGCACCAGCTCCGTGACCTTATCACTCCCATCCTCGCCCGAATCCACTGGCTTCCCATCACACAGAGGATACAGTTCAAGATCTTGATCCTCACCTTCAAAGCTCCCTCCTATCTCTGCGACCTTCTAACCCCATACAAACATGCCCACCCCCTCCGCTCAGTGGGATCTGGTCTGCTTCATGTCCCGCCTTGCCCACCCCACCATTGGCAGACAGACCTTCTGCCACTCTGCCCCCACCCTCTGTATATTCCATCCCGCAGTCCCTCTACCTCGCCCCCTGCCTTGCCACCATCAAGATCCGTCTCAAGACCCTCCTCATCGACTGTGCCTTCGGTCACCCTCCTCCCCTCCCCCCCCACCACCCTTCATTCTCCCCGATCCCGACCCCCAGCTCCGGTCCGAAACACTGATTGTCCAGCATCTTGGGACATCCTCCCGATGTGAAAGATCCTACACAAATGTAACTTTGTTGTTGTTGTCTTTACTTCCCAAGTAGTTATCTCAATAAGAGCTCCTTATAACACATATAAAACAAAGAAAACTTTTTAAGGGTTTTTGGATCTGGTATTATTGTCTTTATTCAATAATATTTGGAGATTTTCCAAACTGTTTTATGAGGATCATAGCATTTGTGTTTCTCCATCCTCTCTTGGGACATATGAAAGAGTTATTTCTGTACAATGCCCCTCAGCCGGCTGTGTGTCTATGTGTGGGCGTGCTGGTTAATCATTTTTTCAATGGCCAGAACATCAAGAATATCCACCGCGTGAAATGCCAGCTCATCAGATAAAATTGGTCACTCGCTTCAGGGCTGTTTATGGGACATTGCTGTGTGCAAATTGGCTGCTGAGTTGGCCTACAAAATACACAGTCACTACACTTCACAGTAGAGAGCTTGACAACAACAACAACAGCAACAAAATCACATTTATACAGCCTCTTTCACATCTGGAGGACGTCCTAAGGACAGAAGGAGCACTACACAGATTCGGGGGAGGTGACCGTAGGCATGGTCGAAGATGAAGGTCTCCAGGCGTGACCTGAAGTTGGGGAAGGATGGGGCAAGTTGGCGGGATTGTAAGAGAGAGTTCCAGAGTTTTGCGGAATCGTGTAATTATAGTGTGATAATTATTATTATTATTACTTATTATTATCTCTCTTCTATCAAATCCATCAATGAATATTGTCCCTCCAAGCTGGTGGAAGGTGGGTGATGGGATTTTTAAAGAGCTCCCAGCAGCTGAGCTCAATGCAGTTCCTTCAAGTCGTCTTGTTGGGATTTACTTATTCTAAAAGGAGAGCTCGGGTATTTCTGGAGGCAACAGTCCATTGGTCTAAGGAGCACTCATTCCCATAAAGAGAAGTGTGCTTTGCTGACCCATCACATACTGCCATTTATACCACTTACTCTTGAAAGCAAGCCCGAGGGTTGTCACTTGTCACCTGCTCTCTCCACGCTCCGGACGGACCCTGTCTCTCTCTCTCTCTGTCTACACCTCCGTTCTATCTGAGGTGAGATTTCATTTGAGTTTTGTAAATGTTATTCTCTCTTTTCAAATCATGCGTCAGTCGCGCTGCTTTCAACCGACTGTCACCTATTTTGATTGAATTTCACGTTCCCCAACCCTCTTTTAAAAAAATATTTAATCTGCGTTGCATCTATCTCTAAGTGGCTACAATCTTGTGGTGTCCCATAGCATAGTGGTTAGCATGCTTGCTCTGTAAGCGAGAGGACCCAGGTTCGATTCCCAGGCGAAGTGAAACCTCAGGCAAGTTTCTTTACTCTGTTTACCTAGCAGTAAAGTAGGAACCCGGTTATTAGTTGATTGGCAGATCATTTTCCAGGGGTAATAATCCCTTAAATAAAAATTGGTCACACACTCCACGACTGTTTGTGGGACACTGCTGTGCGTAATTGGCTGGTGAGTTTCATCACCAAAATACCCAGTCAAATAACTTTACAATATATTCTGTGAAGTGCTTTGAGACATCACAACGATGTGATAAAAGCACTATAACAAATGCAATGATTATTATTAGTATTATTACCTTAGTTCTGTATTTGCAATGATTTTTCAAACAGATGTAATGTGTTTTTTTTCCAATCAGGTGTCCTTTCTTAAGAATCAGATTTCAAACTTGCAGGTTCTGTTTTTTCCTGCGAGTCACAGCGGATTTTAAATAAATGGGAATGTGGGTGCCGACATAAGTTTTATTAAAAAACAGAGCACAGTAAAGGTTTTTTGGGGAAGTAATTTTAGTTTGACACGTCATTCGGTTCTCTATTACCAATTTGTTGCTGGCAGTTGGAACAAAAATAGAATCTTTTGCTAGGCATCTGGAGAGAGTGAAATGACTTACTAACAGATAGCTCAGATCACCTGGTGCTGAGATTGGAATTACACTGGCCTGAGAGTGAGAGTCTTTGAGAATCCAGTCCAGCCCCGGAAACAGCTGCTCCACTCCTCTACGGACCAAATTTAGAAATGACTTTCTCATATTAAGTACCCAAATGCCTATCATTCTTAAGGATACGGTTTCCGCTGGGTTCTTGGAATGAGCTGGGAAACCTTACAGCGAGTTAACATTTTCAGCTTGGCTCTACCTTCCCATTCGTTAACTGAGTAACTCCAGCAAAGATGTTGATAATTTGATATATTTTGAATTGAGTTGCATTCCTTTATAGCACGTTACCTGACTTATCTTAACTCCTTCGATTGTTCTTGTGGTTACAGAGCGTAAAACAAATCCATCAAAATGGCAGAGTGAGTATTAAATTGTCTTCCTCTCAAGTTGATTCCACTCTTTCAGTGTCTTAAAGCTTTGTCATTAATGGAGTTTGATTTGATTTTAATGATTTTTCTTTTTTTTTCCTTTACAGTGAGGTACGTTGACACCTGGCTGGTTCTGGGTAACATTGGTTGATTGCATGTTGCATCGCAAACTGTAACCAATCAAACCCATTAATTATTCTTGTAAGGCTTCCTAAATTCATTTCATAGCAGCAATACGCTCGCACTGTACAATGTGCGGGCGCCTTTTCCGAAATGGCAAGCTAAGGGCATGATAATCCAGTTATGTTTTATTGCATATAAATATGGAAACAGCATGAATGCCACATCAAGTTACCTTGTCGACCTGATCGTTCACAGCCTACATTCGATTCAGAGAAAGCATGGTTTCTACTCACACCTGCAATTGTTACAACAGCTCCAACAGTGTCCTGGCCAGCAATTCTCCAGATAAAATCAATCGTTCACTTCATGGCTGTTTGTGGGAGATTGCTTTGCTCAAAATGGCTGCCACATTCACCTACAATGGAAGAGATATAGCTTCTTACATCCCCTGAATCAATCAGTCATACTGGGAAAGTACGTAATACTCCATTGGGTAGAAATTTCACCAAGGTCACGACTTACTCTCAGCGACAAAGCCAGGTTTTGCAACCGGAGGAAGGGAATGGATCTTTAGTGGTGCTGCAAGTCCGCAGTTCCCTGTAGCAGCTTCTCGTCAACCGGGCCGTTGGCTACCCTCCTACCCTCACCCTTCCTGCCCTTCACCCCTCCTAATCCAATTCGCCAGCTTGGGTCCAGCACCCTGGGATGTCCTCCCGACATAAAAGCCATTATATTTATGTAAATTTGTATTGTAGTGTTGTACGTATTTACAGAACATAAAGGCAAAGTGTGAGTGAAGTTTGCAGCTTGTCATTAGACAAAAAACGCCTTTTATTGAATGATTAGGACACATTTGTTGAAATTTGAGCATAATTTAAATAGCCTGTTCCTGAATGACCGAATGGGATTTCACAGAACAGAACCATTTAATGATCTTTCCAGCTGACTGGTATTTTCACATTGGGGGAGTAGGGTTGGTGGAGATGGGGATGGGGAGTGGAGAGATGTGAGGTGGGGAGAGAGCAGATGTATGGTGGGATATGGAGTGTGGAAATGGGAGATAGAGAGATAGGGAGTGGGAAGATGGGGATGGAGAGATGGGAGTGGGGTGGGGTAATGAGAACTGTCCATGAGAGAACTGGAAGGCATTGAATTTTAACTGCACGGCGTCTGTGATTTGCTAGCTGCATAATGTCATGTAGTTTATCCCCCCCAACACCCTCTCACTCTCTCTCCTTTTGTTTCATCTCTCCACTGTTACCTTGTTTCCGCAGAAAAAGCCCAAGATGACGGCATCTCGCAGGAACCATCTGAAGGTAATGGTAGACCTTTCAGTATTTGAAAACTTTGCTTGGCTTCGATGAGGTGTGAAAGGCCTCAAAGTGATGATCTGATTGTCTTTGCCCCTCAGAGTCTGATGCTGCAGATTGCCAAGGACTTGATTGAGAAGGAGGATGCAGATAGAATAACAGAGAAGGAGAACTACATGGCAGAGAATTGTGTACCTCTGCAACTCTCTGGAATTTCCATGCAAGAGTTACAGGTTATTTTCAAGACTGTTCTTTTCTAAACTGCCGTGTATTTATCTAGCGCTCTTTCAAGTTCTTTTAGGAAATAATATCTTGGGATACAGTATACGGTTTAGCACATGACATGTGCATGCTGCTGTCAGGATGGTGGAAGGTGAACTGGATGGACCTTGGTCCATCTAGTAATTCTATGCTCAAGTTTGGCATTTTGCTCTGAAAATCCTCAAACCCGAGAGATGAACACTTAAGTGTGGGTGCAGGCAAAGGCTGAAGGAGGATTGAGATACACTGAAACTCTGATAACTCATCACTCAAAGGGAAATAGCTGAAAAGACTACTTATTAGAGTCGACTAGATGTCCAAGAGTACAGTTTCTCAAAAGTACAAAGTATTCGAATAGCCTGAAATTGCATAAGTGGCTAGTTATGTGGGGCTGACGACTTATCCCAGGGGTGAGTTTTCAGAGTTTCACTGTAGTTTAATCAAGCAACATAATACAGAAAGGAGCTAAAAATGCACGAGAACCATCTCATATACTGCTCAGCAATGCTCAGCGTTTCCTTTGAGAGAAAGAACATTAATACTTCTGTTGTGGGAATTTAGACCCAAAAATCCTTAATTAAAGGTTAAGTCTATTTTCAGAGGATGATGTGAGTGGGTGAGTGAGTTGGGGGATTTGTATATTCTTCATTGATTCCTTATTACCTAAATCATTTTAAACATTCTTTTTTTGCTTTGCCATGGCTGTGGAAGAACCGATAATTCAAGCAAGGCTTGTTGGTCAAAGTCAGTTATTCAGTCTTGAGAGAAGACGACTCAGAAGGGACCTTACAGAAGGATACACAATTTTAAGTGGAATTGACAAAGTAAATCCAGAACAATACGTTCGGATGCGCCAAGACAGAAGAAAAAGAGGCCAAAGATTTAGAGTTGCAAAGAGCAACTTTAGAACAGGAGTTTTTTTTTCTTTACCCAGAGGGTAATTAACAACTGGAACAGGTTGCCTGGAAGGGTGATTGAGGCCAGGATGCTGGACACATTTAAAAAACAGCTTGGTGCTCTGATGGGAGAAAGGTAGAATCATAGAGTCTTACAGCACAGGGGAAGGTCCGTCTGTGCTGGCTCTTTGAAAGAGCTACCAACTAGTCCTATTCCCCCATTCTTACCCCATAACTCTGCAAATTCTTCCTTTTTAAGTACCTATCCAATTCCCTTTTGAAAGTTATTATCAAATCTGCTTCCACCACCCTTTTAGGCAGTGCATTCCAGACCATAACAACTCTCTGGGTAAAAACAATTCTCCTTGTCTCCCCTCTGGTTCTTTTGGCAATTATCTTAAATCTGTATCCGCTGGTTACTGACCCACCCGCCAGAGGAAACAGTTTCTTCCTATCTACTCTATCAAAACCATCCTTAATTTTGAACACCTTTATTAAATCTCCACTCAATCTTCTCTGCCCTGAGGAGAATATGCTCAGCCTCTCTAGTCTAGGGATGGGTGTTCTGGAGGAATGAGATCAGATGAGCTGAAGGCCCTTCTTCATTCAAACCAATCTTGGGATCTTGTGCTTTTAGATTAGCACAAAATGGATATTGATGGATTACGTGCTCCTCCATCCATTTATCAAAGGAGCATCTGAGTGGATAGGTCCTGAATTAATTCCCAACTGCAATGCACTCAGTTTCAGTCTTGACCTATGAACTGCTGTGATCAGTGCAAAAGAAAGGAAAGATGTGGTTCCCAATATCCAACCTTCTCACCATGTGTCTCACCAGGATTTGTGTAAGCAACTCCATGCAAAGATCGATAAGGTTGATGAGGAGAGATATGATTTGGAGTCCAAAGTTCAGAAAAGTACTAAAGAGGTAAGGACTATCTTTTCACGTGGCCTTGTTTGTCAACCTCGGAAGATGTTTGCTCTTAGAGAAGAATCATTTAAAACAATACCAACACATAAATACTAATAAGAATGTTGGATAGGCATATTGGGTAGGCATTGTGGAGTCTTGTAACTTAGTGGTTAGATCACTCGCCTCGCAAGCGAGAGGACCTGGGTTCAATTCGCGGGCAAGTTTCCTTACTCCACATGCCTCTGTTCTTATTATCTAGCAGTAAGTAGGAACCTGTTTTTTAGTTGATTGGCGGATCACTTTTCTGGGAATAATAATCCTTAAAAAATAATAACAATAATATGGTCACCCAATCCACGACTGTTTGTGGAACACTGCTGTGTGCAATTGGCTGCCATGTTTTGCCCACAAAATATACAGTCAATTCACTTTGCAGTATATTCTGTGAAGCGCTTTGAGACATCTCGAAGACAAGATAAGGCGCTATATATCAAATGCAAGGATTATTATTATGATGGGTACACATATTGGGTTGGCATGATAGGTTGAATGCTGGGTTTGCATTCTCTCAAAGACAGACTAGTGTCTGTGGTACTAATGCAAACTTGCATTCAGTCTTGATAGCCAGACATTGACCAGCAACATCACACAATACAAAGTGCCTTGTGGGCTCCATTTCATGGTCTTCATGATCAGGGAAAAAAACTGTGGGGAATTTGTTTAGGACAGTTTTAGGTGCATGGGTAAATATTATAACATGATTTTGTCTCTTTCTGTGTCCCTGCAATGGTCAATATTGTAGATTGATGACTTGAACATGAAAGTCTTTGACCTGAGAGGCAAGTTCAAGAGGCCACCACTGAAGAGAGTGCGTATGTCTGCTGATGCCATGTTGCGAGCACTGTTGGGTGCCAAACACAAGGTGTCTATGGACTTGAGAGCTAACCTGAAGCAGGTGAAGAAAGAGGACACTGAGAAGGAGAAGGTAAGGCAGTACGAGTATGATTCATCCTTCACCCTTGTGTCTGAATTTTCCCTTGGAGTAAATGTGGAGCCCAGATGTTGTCTGCGAGCATCGGCAGGACATTGATGCTTTTGTGCTCCTCCCAGAGACCTCTAAGCAATAGACCAGACAAGCAAGACCGTTCTAAGCATTTTTATATAGTACATCTCCCAATGGCCCATTTGATCTCCTCCTTCCAGAACATCCACCGTACTGTGTACAATACTGAGGGCAGTGACTCATTCCACTCAGCTTCCATTAATTCTACAAGCCAAAACCTTATGGGAAGGGTGCTCCTCGCTGGACAAGCAGCAAGAAAGCTTTCCAGAAAGTACTTTCAATAGCAAGCTCTGCAGTTTTAACTGGCTAGACTCTAGCAGTACCCCAACATATACTCTGGGGTCCCCAAGCCTCGGCTGTTGCCAACCTGTGCCTAAAACTATCCGGTAATTGAGTAAGCAGGATGTATCCTTCCAGGGTGAGAGTGCACATCTCATTCCTATATACATCTCTGGTATTTCCAAATGTAGGTGGAATGCATGGACCTCTCAGTTTGGATATCTTAAGCATGATGGTGGGTTTCCGCATTTGTCAGACACCTGGCTTATCATAAAAACCTACCATCTACTCTTAATTGATGCCACCACACCTGGGCTGTGTGCCATGCAGTATAGGTTACCCACAGGCACAGTCCATGCTCTATCTCGGTTCAGGGCCTATACTCAATTCTGACCCATCCTCTGTCACCACAGGAAATGCGGGACGTCGGAGATTGGCGCAAGAACATTGAAGAGAAGGCTGGAATGGAGGGCAGGAAGAAGATGTTTGAGGGCGCTGACTAAAAAACACCAACATCAAATCCAAACATTGTATTTTAATATTTGTAATAAACATATATGTAGGTCACCATTCTTCCAAACCAGTGCTTGTGCCAATTCACTTGGTTTCACATGGATTTTCCCCAACCACAGAACCTGACAGAAGCAAGGACTTAAACTAAACCCACCAACCTTTAAGCTGCTGTATGTCATGTATCTCAGTTCAAGCCCCAGCACACATTCTGAGTCTTACTTGCAATGGAAAAGACGGAGCTCATTGGCTTTAAGATACCATTTGCAGAAAATATATTTTATTTAATGGTTATATGTGCTGCACATCTAAATCTACAGTGTAAATAAACTGTTTAAAGCCAGCTTGATTCATTTTGTAAATCATGGGTACCCTGTAACCTCCTTTGCCTTCCCTCACATTCCCCCCTTATAATAATATATATAATAATTCTTGCATTTGATATAGGGTCTTGTCATGTTTTCGAGAAGCTCTTAATTCTGTTAAACTCCAATAAACTCGCTGAAGGAGTCTTTACAACTTTCAACCAGGGTATTGGTGGGCCGGAGTATGGAGCAGGGTGGAGGGTGAAAGATAATAATAATATAATAATACTTGCATTTGATATAGCACTTTATCATGTTATCAAGACATCTTTTCAGTTATTATTATTTACTAAAGAATAATAAATTATTATTTGTTAATAATCCCTTCAAATTGTTTTTGAAAAAAAATAATTTGGTCACTCAATCCACGACTGTTTGTGAGACACTGCTGTGCGCAATTGACTGCCGCATTTCGTCCACAAAATACGCTGTCAATCCACTTTGTAGTAGATTCTGTGAAGCGCTTTGAGACATCTCGAAGATGTGATAAGGAGATGTATCAAATACAAGGATTATTATTACTATTATTATAAATGGAAATTATGTGGAGATTCACCTTTGTTTTAACCAGGGCGGACTGTCAGTAACACGTTCTGACCAGCAAGGGGAGCAGCAATTTGGCCACATTCACATTAAGCAGCTCCAGATGGAATTGAAGCCCTGTTCTGAGGTTTGGTAACTGACTAGTCTTCAACCTGGATGTTAGAATCTACTCCACAACAACAAATGAGCTTCACACCACTTCATCTCTCTCCAAACCCAACTCCAGCTAGACCAGAAAGTATTTTTATAAGCTGGGAGAGTAGAAAAGTGCGGCCACAATTTTTCCTCGGAATCCGTTACAAACACGCTCCTCAGCTACAAACGATCCCCTTCAGTACACACCCCGTCTGCTACACACACACACAAACACACACCTCCACTACAAGCCTGTAAAAACACAGTGTGCTTATGGCCCCAGGCCTCTGTGCACTGATGCTACTTTACCGTGGGCGGAGTGGTTCCTGACAGGCATGCGCAGTGCGCTGCGAGCAGGAAATGGGCTTCGCTCACCCCGAGGATTGTCTGTGTGTCTCTCTCCTTTATATGTGTGTAACTGTGTGAGTGTGTGTTTCTCTCCGTGTGTCTGTGAGTGTCTGTGAATGTGTGTCTCTCTCTGTCTGTGACTGTGTCTGTGAGAGTGTGTGCGTCTCTGTGTCTATGAGTGTGTGTGTCTTTGTGTGTGTGCTTGTGAGTGTGTGTCTCTCACTGTCTGTTTGCGGTGATGTGGTGGGCCTCGAGTGGCAAGAGGTGGTGACCTCCTGGAGCCCCACAGTCAGGACTAATTCCCAGTGGGCCACCCAGGTTTCGCTGGTGTGACATCAGCAGTACCCTGCTGGAGTACCGCAGATCCCAGCCAGAATCAGAAACCCTGGGAAAGGAGAGGGAGAAAATTGGGAAGGAAAATAAATATTTGCAAACATCATCTTAGGAACATAGAAACTGGAGTAGGCCATTCAGCCCTTGAGCCTGTTCCACTATTCTATTGGATCATGGATGATCTATAACTCAACTTCATGTGGATGGAGCAAAGTGGGGTAAATGGGTGGATCTAGCATCCACAGCCGTTTGGGAGAGAGAGTTTCAGATTTGCAGATTTTGTGTGAAAAAATGCTTCCTAATTTCACTCTGAAATGACCTAAATTTTAAGATTCTGCCCGCTTGTTCTGGAGTCCCCCACCAGAGGAAAGAGTTTTCTGTACCTTGGCTAAAGGATATATTTCAGTAACAACTCTTTATGTTGAAGTGGAGCCTGGGCAAGCACTCACTGTTTTCCTGTCTCAGTGCCTATGGTCTGTTTACAATAAGCCCGTGGGTAATTACAAGGAGTCATAAAACTGCCTCCTCAAACTCTCTGGGAACAATCATCATTAGCTTTTTAAAGGGCAGAAAGTCAATCAAAGTACAAATAACGCACAGTACTAATGTCAGAATTCAGAGATTCTCCAAAAGGGAGCTTGGACAGAAAGGAAACTGGACTCTATTTCCGAATAGAAATAGCGTCGCTCCAGGAGGTTACCCTGCATGAAGGACGCTATATAAATGCAAGTTGTTGTTGTTGAATAAGATTGTGTGCAGTCGGGGTTAGGACTTTGAATTCCAGCACAGTGCTAGGGGGAATGCTGCATTCGTGGAAGTTGCCGACGTTCAATCCATCAGTTCAGGTTCATGTAAAGTTGGTTGGCATAAAGATCCCACGGCATGATTTGAAAAGATAAGGTACTTTCTCCCGGTGTCCTGGCCAACAATCCCCCAAATAAAATTCATCATTCACTTCATGGCGGTTTGAGAGACATTAGTGTGCACAAATTGGCTGCTAGGGCACTCAGGAATACTTATAATGATAATAATCCTTGCATTTGATATAACACCTCATCACATCATTGAGAGGTCTCAAAGTGAATTGTGGATGAAATGCAGTTGCCAATTGCGTACAGCAGTGTCCCAAAACAGCCAAGGATTGAGTGAGCACTTCTTTTTAGGGCTAATTACACCCAGATAGCAACCTGCCAACCAACTAACAACCAGGTCCCTACTTAATGCTAGGTAAATAGAGGTATGTGGAGTAAGTAAATTTGCCTAAAGTTTTGCCCCTCCCCGGAATCAAACCTGGGTCCTCTCACTTGCTTAGCAAGTGCTCTAACTAGTGAGCTACAGGTCTCCATTATTTAAATCCTCCACACCCCCTGCCCCCTTCCCCCATCCCACCTGAATCAGGTCCATTGTCAATGAGAGCAAATTAACTGCCATTCACTTCACCTCTAATGAATTCAGTGAACCACGCATTGGGCTGCTTGATTCACGTGAAGGCCGCTGACTGGATGTGAGCTGCCATTAAAAAGCCCTTCCCCCTGTGGCTCTCAGCAGTGTTTGGTTCAGGATGCTGGGGGTGAAATGGGGCAGAACCCCAGTAAGCCTCTGGCTGTGGCCTCCTACTGCTCTAGCGCAGCTGGAGAGAGGCACATCCCCTCGGCTGAGGTCTCAGTGACTGGCTTCCTGTGTGGAGGGGCTGCTCTCTAATATTACAGGAAGAGCAGCCGAAACGAAGCTCAGCACAGTGCCCAGCCAGCTAGGTCCTTGTGCTACACTTTTCTAAGACGGCGAGAGACAAAGGGAAGGAGAGGCAGGATGGACGACTTGGAGCGTAGACGTGAGCTGAGGAAACAGAAACGAGAAGAACTCTGGCGTCAGGCAGAGAGGTACAATCCGCTTGCCTTTTACGTCTGTGCTGCTTTACTGCTCTCTCTCTCTTTCTCTCTCTCTGTGCAGAAGCTTATGCACTGAAAACAAACCTATTCACAAGCTCCGAGGACAGCAACCCTGGCTTTATGTCTCTTTCTTTATTGTATAAAGCAGTCTTCCTAAAACCACAGGCTTTAAGTTCCTGAGGTACCAAATGGGAGGCTTCTGGAGGATTCTAGTGTTGTTGATGGGGGTGATAACGGAGCCAAGCACTGCTGATATAACTGATACGTTGCACTTAAGATGATGTGTATCTGTTTCTGCACAGCTCCAGCTCCTTGCATTGTTGTCTGTCTAGTCCTTATTATGAGCTGACAGCACAGGATATGCATTGAGGATAAACATCACCTCTTAAACTGTCAATGCTTCATGTCCAACTTATTTCTTAGTGGAGTCCTGTAGCTCAGTGGTTAGACCACTCGCTTTGCAAGCGAGAGACCTGAGTTCAATTCCAGGCAGAGGGCGAAACCTTTGGCAAGTTTCCTTACTCCACACAGAGCCTAATAATACCTCCAAAAACAATAATAAATTGGTCATTTCCAATCTACGACTGTTTGTGGGACATTGCTGTGCGCAATTGGGTGCCGCGTTCGCCCACAAATATACAGTCAATTCACTTTACACTGTGTTCTGTGAAGCGCTCTGGGACGTCCTCCCGACGTGAAAAGCGCTATATCAAATGCAAGGATTATTATTATTATTATTTCAAAACTGCACCACCCACATCCTGAACCTGTACCAAACTCTGAACACCCATCCTCACCAGCTCCACTGGCTCCCAGGCTCCAGAAGGATTGATTTCAAGATCCTTGCCCTCTTCTACAAATCCTTACCTGTCCTAGCACCTGGGGAGGGGACATCACAGCAGAATCTGGCTGTGTCCTCACCCCAGGTCCAAGCAGCAAGTAAAACATAGTTGCTGAAGTCAGAGTTGCTATCAACGGGATCCCATAGTGGATATTGCACTCACCTCGCAAGTAAGAGGACCCCGGTTCGATTCCTGGGCAGGGCAAAACCTTTGGTAAGTTTCCTTACTCTACAAGCCTTTGTTTACCTAACGGTACGTAGGAACCCAATTGTTAGTCGATTGTCAGCTAGCTTTCCGGGGGTAATCATCCCCTTCCAAAAAATGCAATTTGATCACTCGATCCACGACTGTGTGTGGGCAATTGGCTGCCGTGTTTCGTCCACAAAATGCAGAGTCAATTCACTTTACAATATATTCCATGAAGCGCTTTGAGACGTCTTAAACAATGTGATGAGGCACTATCATACGCAAGGATTATTATCAGTAGTATTAGTATTATGATTACTAGTGGAGCACCACCTGGCTCTTGCTATCAGTGATCTTCAAGCAGTTTATCAGTTCAGATCGACAGTGCTGTGAGGTACGTTTAGCCCTGCACTGGTTCCTGTCTAATAGCAATAAAATACCACAGATGATACACTTGGATGTGCGCACACAGTTGTTTCTCGTTTGCTTTAGAATATTTGCTTTAACTCTTTCCTGCACTAACCCACAATAGCCAGTGCGTGTTATAGAACCCAGTGTTCTGTAGGACCTTGACCAGTTCAGTCAAGTTTGTTAAATGAGTCACCTTTTACTGCCTCCGTTTTGAGGAAATTGAACTTTAAATAAAAGCACATAAATTAGCAACACTGTCATTTCCTGTTAACCACAAGAAACCCAAATATC